GGATGACGGTCATCATCGTTATCCTTTGATTATTCTTGATTATTATTTTATTTACTCCTGTCTTACCGGTCGTGGGACAAGGGCGATCTATTAATACATTTACACGTGGTTACATGGGTCCGCAAGCTTCGGGTTTGGCTCTATCCCTGCTGCTTCTTCACATGTGGACGACGGGTATGCCCCATATACTTAATGCTTATATGTCTTTCCCCTCAAAAACATATAACTTATGGATATGGGTTTAATGGGGTTAAAAAGAATATATGAACTTATACCTGGAGAAGGTCTACTAGAAGTGTTCTCTATTCCTCGACTGAGGACGATGCTTTCTTTCATGCAGAAAAACAAGCAGATGCCAGTATGAATACTCAGAGTATTGATATTAGGTAGTATATAGGTGGAACCCGCACAGTCATGACCAATGCTCCTGTCCATACCGAACAAGCTCAGTCATGAGTTTACCGCCAGCAGATACATCGTGGTAAGGGTCAGACAAGTTTGCCATGAAGCAGCCGCCTGGCTGCTCACTGCAGCTTCGCTCGCCACCACTGCAGATACCAACTATCGTAGGATGGCCATCGATGTACTCCCACATGGGCCCGCCAGACCACCCAGCAGACGCAAATACCTTCGACTCGAGCTCAACACCAATCTCTCCGTGAGGGTCAACGCCGTCCAGGGTTAAGTTGGTGACCAGCATCTGCGTCATGCCCTTGAACGGTTCAGTCGGGTATCCAGAGCTCAACCACGGGCCCTTGACATACGCCTGCGTATCCTTCCACCAGGCAGTCCCCATCCATCCCACTCGTTCACCCAGCGGCTCACACAGCTTGCATATCACATAGTCTAAACCAGTAACATTGAGCGTGTTCTTTACCCCGCGACACTGCGAGACATACGAGCTTCCAAAGGGCTCCGCTTGTGTCTTCCCATGGCCAAACCCAGGCACAAACCGCATCCACCTTCTGGATCCATAGTTCCATGGGAAACAGTGGCTTGCAGTGAGGAGCAGGTTCTTCCCAACGAGAGTTCCCGTGCACCACCCGCCTTTGTCCCCCCTAAAACGCCGAAAGAATATCCTCCCTATCGTCGACCATGGATACCCTATCGTGGCAGTGACCTGGAACTGGTCGAACGGTGACCCTTCTATGGACACTAGGGCGATATCAGTGCCGTAACTTTTGATATCAAAGTGGTAGGGCGTGGTATTGTTGCTTTCCTTGCTCGTGTTAGGGCTGAAGCCCAGTGTGCTGCCATACTCGTTTTCCTGTGTCCCTTCAAACTCCCACGTTGCGTCTCCTGGGCTCAGATTCCACTTTTCATCCACCGTCAGTCTCTCCGCCTGGAGGTCTGGAAATGCCTTTCCACAGAGCCCGCCGCCTTTAGGCTCCAGGGGAATCACCGCCGTAACGAGGGAGTCTTGGAGCAGGAATACTGTAACGAGTGGCCATATCAAGTGCATGGTAATGGAATAAAGAAAGGTCGGAAGAAGTGAGTGTACACATGGGATGGTAAGGTATTTCGCCGTGCCTCTTGCGCTGTTCTCTCTTGCTATAACATATAACTATACAATCTATAGGACCTGACATGGACAAGGACACAAACAATGCCTGGTTGCTTTTGTCTGGATAACCAACGGAAGTTCAAGCAAACGCAGGAATGGCTGCATGCTGCCTTCCTTGGCCCAAGAGATAGCCCTCTAGTGACATATAAGAGGAAGGCCGTTCTCTCTTTCCTCCATAACTTGCTACTCAGTTCCCACGATAGGCAAAGGAAGTATTAGCGAGTTCAAGGCGGCTGCCGGTCTCATTCCTAGGTATAAACTTGACATCATCTATGGTGATAGTCTGGTATCTGTTGTATCTCGGGCATCAGGGGTCAGTTGGGCATGTCAGGTTCAACATCTCGAAGCTGCCAAAAGACCAGCAGTATATTATATATATAAATATGTAACCAGCTGCTGGCTCTTCAGTCCAGGCACCTTGATTAACCCCCTTGACCTGGAGCTTTATTAACTGCGTCTACCAAAAAGTGTCGCGTGTCTACATGTAACGGTCATTAGCATCTTGTATATCAGTGTCGACTTCCACTCTGACCTGGAAAAATGGTCACCTAGAATTTGACTACATGATGAATCACCATTCTACCGCTCAGGCATAGTCATTAATTATGTTTCCACTGTCTAGGTAGGTAATAAATAATAGACAGACCGACAGCTTGATTCTAAAACTGATCTCTGGTTTATCATCCATGGCAAAGCTCGAGTCACAGCCTTACGCCTGATGCTGAGTGCAGGTTCCTTTCTTAGCAAAACCAAGGGATGATCTTGACATCGCTCTCATCACCGAGGCAGATCCGCTCATCTCTTGCTCTATAACTAATGGCTGGATGTTGTATGGTAGCTTGGCTCCCTGGCTCACTCACTGATTAACTAGTTAGTTGTTTGACTAAAAGCTTGACTCGAAGTTACTCATATTTATTTATTTCAAGCTGAACCAACCCCGCAGGCAGCCTCATCAGCAACATCTTCATTTCATTTTTGGAGGGCTATTCTTTTCCTTGCATTTATACTTATTGTTTTAATAGTTTCTTTTACCTATTATACTGCTATAGTACCCGGTTCAAGCGTAGCTGTCAAAAATGTTCAAGAAAAAGCCATCAGTTCGACCTCCCCACACACCTACTATCTATGACCCATCGAGGCAGCAGTGCTAACATATTTATGGCAGATCAAACCACTCGCACCTCTTCGGTCCTCTGATCGGAGGAAGATCGCAGACAAGATCATCCAGGAATACGGCATCTCAGTCCCAGAGGCACCAGCAGCTCAGCCTGAAGCTGACGAGACATCAGCCCAGCCCGCCACAACCACCCCTAGCCTCTCATCTATTCGAAACTCGCTTCTGCCAGAGAACACTCTAGCAGGACGCTTTTCGACCACTGTGGGACCTGACTTACAACTTGTTCATGGTACTTTGTACGTTGGAACGCACCCAGACGGTGAAGAGCGAGTATTATGGATCAGACTTGAGCAAGGACCAGGAACAGATGGAAGAATATACCCCACAGTATATTCACTATGGCGCAACCCAGGGCTGGTTCCCTTGCTGTGCACAACGGGACATGTTATGGAGAAGCTCTACAATGGCGCAGATCTGATGACCCCAGGTCTTACAAACGGCCCCCCATTCCCAGCAGGAGCTGTGAAAGGGTCCGTCGTTGCTGTCTCGAGTTTGGATAAACCGAGCGTTCCCACATTCGTAGGCGTATGTGAGATTGATGTTGCTAGCCTAACACAGGTACAAGGCGCAAAGGGACATGCTGTCAGGGGGATACAGTGGGAGGGTGATGAGCTATGGAGCTGGGGTTCGACTGGAAAGTCTGGTCAGCCATCGCCAGATCACTTGGATGGCTGGATTGGAGAACCCGAAGCGACAGAAGAGAAACTCCAGGACCTAGAACTAGGCGATGATGAAGATTTAGATGGAGGCGCGGATGGCGGTGTTCCTATTAACGAACCTCCAGAGGAAGAACAGAGGGTAGGGGGGGAGGAGGAAGAAGAAAAAGATGGGGAAGAAGAGCTTCCGCCTCCAACTACAAAAGGTAAGATTTACTATAACTATTACTTCTCAATAACGGATTTTAACAAGGCAAACAAATACTAGAAATCGATGATGCCTTCGAGAAAGCATTCATATATGCGCTCTACCAGCACAAGAAAGACCACCCTGGAGACCAAAACCATGGCTTGTCATTCCCCATCCAGCCATCGTTCTTGATATCCAACTTGATCACTCCATTCTTGCCAATATTTTCGCCAAACCAGGCTCAATATTACCAGATCAAGAAGACATCCTGGAAGAACGTTAAGAAGTTTGTCAAGCATCTCGATAAGATAAAGTTACTCAAGTCAAAGGATAGAGGAGGGGAAACAATAGTCATGGATGTTGATTTTGACGACATCCTTGTCGACCAGTTTGTCCCTTACCGGTTGCCCAAGAAGACGAGCTCAGGGGGCGCAAAGCCAAAGGCTGCCTCTGGAAATACTTCAGGAAGCGTGTCATCCGATCAGGTTAACGTTAAGACACTCTACCGCCCAAGCAGCAAGCTGGTACCTGATCTATTCCCACCCTTATCCAACACCGACGTGAACAACTACTACTCAGCCTCTGATGTCTCTAAACGCCTGAACGATTACATTTCCTCACAAGATCCACCGATCATCTCTCCCTCTAATCCTCGGATTCTCACTCTCAATGCTTTCATCAGCAACAAGATTATCCCTTCCAACGATATTGCGACTCTTTCCCGCGGAACCATCCCACGAGATGCTCTGCTGAAAAGGTTACTCCAGGACCCTTCGTTATGTGCACCTTTCCATGCAATCCTTAAACCCAACCAGACACTCTCAGATGTGAAGCCCAAGCCCGGTGCCCTCCCAAAGGCAACCATAACCATTGAACGCCGCACGGGATCCAAGTTGGGTACCAAAGTAGCTGGCCTAGATAGATTTGGCATATCACCCCAGCTACTAGCAGATGAGCTATCGAAGAAGTGTGCGAGTAGCACCAGTGTTAGCCAGGCAGTTGGTGCTGCCAAGGGGGAGATGGAAGTCTTTCTTCAGGGTGACCACCGAGGGGTAGTAGAGAAACTGCTTGTTAGCAAGGGTCTCAAATCTCAGTGGATAAGCATTGTGGACAAGTCTAAGAAGAAATGAGCCTCCTAGCGTTGACTAAGGGAAGTTATTGAGACTACTACTACAGGGCCATTTTGGATACCTTGGAAATAGTTAGGAGGTTAAATAGTAACGGTTTATGAAAAATTTAGATTGTTACAAAATACTTTCCTATAAATGATCGTCTAGCTCCCTTGGCTTTTAAAAGTTCTAAACCGTCAATTTACCAATAACAGAATAACGGGTATGCTCAATATCAAGAGAATGACGTTGTTTTAACCTTGGAAGTAGATTGAAGCAAACAAAGCAAACATGAGAGACCACACCACGAAAGTTGCGGCTTTCCACAAGAAATTATTCCAGAGCACCGCTGCATCTCACTGCTCTACGTTTGAAACACGGAAACACATCTCTCGAACGTTTGTTTCCTCTTTTGCTAGCTATACACCACTGTTCGCTGGCTCCCTTGTATCAACAAAACTATAGCGGGCGAACTACAACCTCGAGAAACCCGGCGCTGGGCCATCGTTGATGATGGCATCACTACTTCTTTTCGTGCTTGCTATTCAGATAATCACCTATTTAATTAATACAATTGGTGCCAGCACTATTGATAGCCTGGTAATTATATTATCCCATCCATAGCTATATTCGTCAGCTAACTCTCTGTTATAGCTATGGCTGCTGTATATCAAACTCCCGAACCAAGCGTCGCAAACGGCTCGAGAGCAACGGCAAGCGAAGCTCGAAGTAATTCAACTTAAACGGGAGATGGGCGCTACCAGCTCCCAAGATGAATTTGCGAAATGGGCGAAGCTACGGAGAAGACATGATAAAGCTATGGAGGAATATGACGTTAAGAGTACGTATTTATCTTCGGAAGACCTGGCAATCTGGCCTGTAACAATATTCGAAGGTGTTTTGGTAACTGACATATCTATCTACCATCCAGGCAAAAAGCTCAACGCGATGAAAGTTTCATTTGACTGGACGATCAAGACTGTCCGATGGGCTTCTACCACCGGTATTACCATCATTCTTCAGTTCTGGTTTTCCAAATCACCTATATATGACCTACCTCGGGGGTGGTTTCCATGGCAGGTGGAATGGATCTTATCATTCCCCCGCGCTCCCTTGGGAACGGTTAGCATACAAGTATGGGGAGGGGCCTGTGGGACTGTTATTGCCCTGGTTGGAGGCGCTGTTGCGGCTGTTGTACCAGCTCTGAAAAGCAGCAAGCAATCCAAGGGGCCGGCAGTGGCACAGAAGACAGGAACTCCAAGAGCGAGTAGGGAACAGACACCCACAAGGAAGACACAATAGCAGGCGAAACGAAGGGAGAAGCGTCTACTAATGTTATTAATGTGTAAAACCCATGCTACGATACTCATGATAACTGTTAATTTTATACCTAAAGAACATTGTTGATTGACTTATAAACAAGAATAAGTTAGGATAATTGGGGATGAATTGGGATGGGAAGGGGGATGTTCATCAGATAGGTTTTAAAATCTTGATCTTCAACAGCCATTATATGACCTCTGTGCTTGACTCTATGATTTGTATATCATCACTTGAACATGTATGAAGTAAAGAATCTGGCCCTTTCGAAGGGGCTTCTGCAATTGAATCTCTCCATAAACACAGCAACTATCCGAAGCACGGAAGGCCGAGGGAGCAGAGACACAATCGCCGCTTTCCATAAGCTACAGGTTCGGTGGTAGGGGTAAAAAAAAGAGTGAACTCCTCGCCTCAAGAATAAGCCCCATCGAGTTACTCACCCAATCCTGAGAATTCAGAAAGAGGTAAGCAATCGCATAGCTGTAGAATCTCGACGAATGGCAACCTCCTTAACCAGATTCCCACGACCGTCTCCCATTGTTTCCCCAAGAAACCTCCTCGACGCAACCCCCGAATCAGCTGCAACTTCACTCCAATGCCAAAACGTGAGACTCATGTCGTCATCCCAGGGTTGTCCTAGCACTGGAAAAAGAGACTGTGAATAGGGAGAAAGCTGAAGAGTGCAGACGGTTCAACGAGGGTCGGAGCCAGTGCGTAGGTGGGTAAGAGGGCGTAAGCTGCTATGAAGTGCTTCTATGGCAGCGTGTTTCCGCAGTGCCTGGCACAAAGCCAGGGCGTCCGGGGACTTTCTCCCAAAGCAAGGTATTGGTACGAGCATCGAAATGCCCAGTTCGTAAGCTTTGAATGCGATTCTTTGAGCGAGGAGTTAGAGAGGAAGAAGAAAAATAAGAAAGCCAGGAAAAAAAAAGTCGCTTAGATTTAAGTGGTGAGGCTTAGTCAGAGGGCGTATTGACTTTTATTTTGGACCCGTGATTATTTTGCCTTGACTAATCAAAATTATGCCCATACTTGGAGCTTTTAATACAGGAGGCCCTATATATACCATACATTACACAACATTATGGTGAGTTGGCCAATAGTGTTATCAGAAACGAGTTATATGTGGTTGCTCATGTAATCCGATTTTCCTGTGATACAGATCTGAAGCTCCAGGGCCCCAGGATTCTTTCATGGATCGAACAACTATTTGGAACGGTTGACAGCTCGTAGCCAGTTAACAACTCCTATTCTCAAAGTATGGCACCGAAGCAATCGCTAGTAGGAAGGCTTTCCGGCGGGAAAAACAAGAGGGTTCGTTTCGTTTCACCTTCGGCGTAATTGAGATCTCAAAATTAACATCTCTCAACCCAGTCGCTCAACGTACCGATAGCCGCCTTCACAATGGCCGTTTTACTTACAGGATACTGCTACCGAAGTATCCGATCCGCGCGCGATAATGCTAAACGTACTTCTATATATACCTCTTCCGGCAGAGGCAATGGGCTATAGTGACGTGCAGTTTTCTGATATCCAAAACGAGGTCAATTATATATATAAAAAAGAAAGGGACGGGAGGCTCTTTTGTATGAAGAGTGCGCAGGATACGAGATACAGGCTTATCGGCTTTGTCCAATTCGTGCCAGGATCATTATGCAAGAGAACTGGGATGGTTGGAGTGACGATACTCTATCGATTCAGTCTATGGCCAACGAGATGCGACGCTGTCCCCACCACCTGCAACCGACGTTATATCAGTCCATACTTGAAAATGGAACTTTGAACCCGACATCGGTATTAAACCGGATATCGGCAGTTTTCGGATAACTTTGAGCTCGCTGTCTGCCTTTTTTCTCTACTGGGATTGCCTCTACCACCGATGCGAGGCGAGCGTAATAGCTTTGGGTTTATCCGGGTAGACTCGAGGCACCGGAAAGAGTTGGCTCAGGAGCTACTGCATCAAGCAACACGGCTATTCTGGTTTACCAAAGATGACTTCTGTCTTGAGTGGCGATATAGCTTTATTCTCTTCTAAACAGGTACATGCGACAAACATGATAGTACTCAAACCTATCAAAGCACGTGCATAGCACTATTACACGCTGGAAGACCGACGTACAAGTTTTGTATGCTAATATTTGACTGAATCAAAAAGACAAATAGCCAACCCATAAAAACAGAGATAGACAGACAGCTCACATCATAACCTTTGTTTCTCCTATCACCACACAAACATAGGCTGAAACTAAAAACATGTACATAAAAACCATTCCTAGTAGGAAGACGCCTGGCACGCCATATTCTTGCTTTGCTAGACACAAGTAAATTCATCCTTTGGAAATTAGATAGTGGTTAACGGGGAATAAAGACAGGAGAAAGGAAGAAGAGGTTGTGATAGGTGGGTGAGAGAACAGTTAGATATTTTTGATTGGGTATATTTATCGCCTCAGGGGAAAGAATCCCACTCCTGTAGCGAATCTGGTATCATAAAATAGAGGGGAAGAAAACGTTAAGCAAAGATTTTCTAGTGAATATGTGTCGTGTATGTGCATATCAGGCACTATTCACAGAGTACCACGGGCTTCTAGTGGCAGTTATGGTTGAGGACAATGGCACATTAGCAGGAGTTGCCAGGCGTTGAATCATAGATGGTGATTTTCCACTGATGAGGCTAGTATTAATTCTCCCTCATGCTGGCCCCAGTGTATTATGTTGCGTAGGTATTCGTACGTCAACATGGTGGTCATGGCAGAAGGGACAGCTCGGAAAAGGTTGGTACCTATACCGGCATAAAACGCTCTCCACCCTTCTTCTTTCAGTATTGTCTGGAACGTTCGAATAACTCCACGATAACGAGGACGATTAGGCATTCCATCTGAAGATGCAGCTCCAACACCAGTGGCGCTACGGTATGTTTCTTCCGAAACACGGAATGAAATCCCTTCTGGTGACGGGGCGGGACTAATTCTCTGTTGCGTCTGTAGTCTGGTGCGCAGTACTTCATGCGGGTATGTAGCTGTGCTCGCGCAGATTTTGCTAAGGAAAGTGGCAGCTCCAATACCGACCCAGTGCGGATTACCTGCATCTGGGTGCTCGCCCATCATGAATCCTGTGAATGCGAGTTTGAAATACTCATAGAGAGGAAATTGAATGGCGACGTGGGTGAGGCCAAGAAGGGCAGGCGTGAGCCCGGAGTAAAACGCCCGTATGCCTTCGCTTGCATACATCTTGCGCGCAGCGTCCAGGGTATTCTTATAGTACCATGGAGCGTGGAATCCGTCATTGGACGGCCGTATGCTCTGGGACATGAGTCGAGTTTTTATGACCCATATAGGATTGGTTGCAATTGTTGAGCAAGCTCCAGCAGTCAATGATGCATATGTTCGAGCAAGCCACCAGTTTTCTACATATAGGGCACTGTATTAGTAAGTTTGTCCTAAAAGGTGTTCAAGGAGAGAGATTAATACCTGTGCGGGAATAGAAGTAGTCTCTAGCCCTGTCGTATATGGTCAAGTAGACGGCCCATGTAGGAAGGTAGCCCAGAAGCATTGGTCCTAGGCCCTTGTACAACCCACGCAGACCCTCATCCCGCCAAATGGTTCTTCCAGTCCCTATCATGCCTTTATACAGGGCCTCTGTCTGCACCAGCTTCCCATTTCGTCGCAAGAAGCCTCCCTGAGCTTGTAGTTTGGTTTTGATAACATCCAGCGGACAGGTTATTATTCCAGAAGCGACGCCCGCTCCAGCTCCACAAAATGGCGTCACATAGCTCTGGGGAATGCGGGTTGAATATACTTGCAACCGTGCGAGTAAGGACGAGTTTGGGGGAGGCTGAGCTCCAGGGTGAAGTTGTGGTATAGTCGACGTCTGTGAGTCTGCGTGTTGTTGATGATGATGCTGTTGCTGTTGCTGTGTTGATGAATGAGTGGTAAATGTCTCCGCCGGTTTGGTACGGTCCAGAGACATCCTTGCCGGCTTTAATGTGGCAGAGGTCTCACTTAGCAGGATAATCGATATCGCTGCATGAGTGCGGAGCGGAATGTAGAGACGGTGAGAGCAAAACGGGGAGCAGGGGAGGGCCTGTGCAAAATGAGGGATATGTTGGACTATATGTATTTCGGTGTATCAGCTCGTCTGTTGGGCCTCGAGGGTTACTTCTCCGGCTTATATCGTCTTTTGGAGCGTTGGAAGCAGAGGGAAGTGGCCGGTGATAAAGCCTACACAGCTCCAAGCTGGAGCAGGTGGAGGCTAACAGGCAACTCCAGGCATGGGCGGGGGGATAGACAAAGCTGGCAGAGATTGACAGAAGATATCTCTAGATTTCGCCGATGGACAGGGAGGCTGTTCCAAGGTGTAGTGCGTAGATAACTCCGGCCGTAGTTATCAAGCAGGCCGTAATTAAGGTAAGAGGCAAGCTTATCCTGTAGATCAAGCAGCAATGTCTCCTGTAGACGCCCCTTTGTGCGTAAAATTGTCCCGTGAAGTAAGATTGGAAGAAAAGAGGTCGAATAGATGGTCGAGCAGCCCTGGTTCATGCCATCCGCGGCCCAGCATATGTAAGTTGAAGTTACTTTTTTGGTGGTTGAAATCACGAGATCCGACGACGCCGAACTGGTCCGAGCGTTACATTTTTGCACACTCGCCAGCAAACCTCAGCAACATCACCAACCCAGTGATTGGCCGACGAGGACGACCGCAACAACCGCCAGCCAGCCAGCCAGCCGTGAGAAATCGCCGCATAGCACACCGAGAACAGGGTGAAGAGCATCTCGAGACACGTTTGAAGAGTCAAGGAGTCGAAGATATTATCCGAATCCGAACCGGCGCGATGGCTTTGACGTCGATGATTACCCGGGTCTTTGAGAAACCCTGGGTCACAAAGGCGATGACGCCGATTGCCAACTGGTACTGCAATGCCGCTGGATACAGGAAGTTGGGCCTAAGGTGCGTTATATTAGCCATTGATGTGGATGGGGGGTAGATATGGGATAAAATGGGGGGAGAATAGTTGCCATTGCCAGTGTTTTGAACTGGCGGAAGAAAGGAAAGGCTGTGATGTCAATGGCAGATATATAAAGAGAATATGAGGGAAGAGAGAGTGAGGAGGTAAAGATATATATATAGAGAGAGACGCTAACTTGTGACATTGACTGTGGACAGATATGATGATTTGATTCCAGAGGACAATGACACTGTTCAGTTGGCGTTGAAGAGACTTCCCCCCAAGGAAGCCTATGACCGCATGTACCGCATCCGCCGAGCCGTCCAGGTAAGTGCCTGCTCAGACACCACTACTTCTCTCCTATCTATATCTACTCTTTGTCTAGATGAGGCCTGCAGACTAACAAGTGACTCTAGTGCTCTGTGGAACACCAGCTTCTGCCAGAGAAGGACCACACCAAGCCAGAAGATGTATGTTTATATATATTATCTCTTTCTCTCTCTTTTTTCCCGTTTAGTTAAAAGAGACATGGACTGACTGTTTGTTATAGGACATCCGATACCTCTCCCCCATCATCGAGGCCATCAAGCGTGAGAATGCCGAGCGTGTCGAACTCGACTCCCTCATCATCAAGCGATGAATTCCCGTCTGACCAGCCAGATCATCCCACCAGCCCTTCAATGTCAATGATACCATGAACAGGAGGGATGATATGAGACAAGACGAGACTTGGCTCACCAAAAAAGAAAGGGTCCCGGATCAGAGAACACAAACTCATCAGTATCAAATGTTTAAATATCACACTCCTATCGACTCTTTTGACCTTCATTTTCCTTGTGTTTCCATTTTTTTGATAAACATGTACAGATAGTTAGATACGAGGAAGTCAATTGCATTACAAATCTCGTGCAGCCAGCAGTAGTAACGTCAGCGGTATATCAAGATTCTATGATATAAAACGGTTAAGATACAGTGAAAGTGTGGGGGTAGAATTGAGGCATCACGCCTGCATGACGGCAACATCTACGTTCTCCCACCTCCACACGTACCACATGAAGAGACTTCTATACGGCGAGAAGGGCGCTGCTATCTCTACCATGTCCTTTTCAGACATGTACTTGAACTTACCTCCGCCCTTTGCCTTGAGCTTGCTTACATCCCGTCCTGCAAAGGCCGCCATACCACGTCTACCAATTAGTACCACAACAAGCATTTAACACACTGTTAAGAAGAGAAATGGAAAGAAAGAAAGAAAAGAAACGAAAAAGACAAAAAGAGAAAAAAGCCACTCACTGGACACCGAGATCCCCCGTCGAAAAGACATCCATCCGCTTGAGGCCAAAGAGCAAGAACATCTCAACCGACCACTTCCCCAGTCCCCGCACGGCAATCAGCTTGTCCAACACCTCCTCGTCACTGGCCGTCAGCAGCATACGAGCAGACAGCTCGCCCGAGGCAAACTTGTCAGCCAGGCCATGAATGTACTCTGCCTTGCGCTGGGAGAGACCGGCGGTTCGGAGGGTAGGGATGTCCATGGAGACTACCTGCTGGGGAGAGGGGAACGGGGCCGGCTTGTAACGTAGTCCTGCGTCACCAACTTCGTCTTCGTCATCTCCATCCGCTTCAACTTGGGTATCTGTGGTGGTGGTGACACTGAATAAAGAGATGAATTTGCTCTTTATCGACTTTGCAGCTGCCCCGGAGACTTGCTGGCCTATGATGCCGCTGACGAGGGCCTGGAACGGGTCTATCTCGACTGCGAGGTCTGCTGGTCTGAAGGGGGCGTCGGGAAACTTGTCGATGACTGGCTTGAGCCTGGGGTCGACTGAGAGCAGATGTGCAATTGCTTCTGTCAGGAGGTTCTCTACCGTGGTTGTAGGGGTGGTGGTGGTAGTAGTAGATGGGTATGCTGTGATGTGTGAGCCGCGCGGGGTGAGGAGGGGAGCTGCTGTGCGATGGGGGTCGACGGGCCGGGCGAGGCTGCTGCTGGCTGGAGTTGCTGGCGGAGGTGTTGATGCCACCACCGAGACGACCGTCTTCCTCTTCGGCGCAGCCTTGGACTTGGTGATGCCTCTGGGCTTCTCTCTGTCTTCACTGTCTTTTCTATCTTTGTCGCCTCGTCCGTCTTCTTCAACGCTGCCGCAGCACTGACTCTGGCTGACCGTCGGGGAGCCATGGGGGCCAACAGACGCGATATCCAGCACTTCACCAGCATCCAACGTCGCAACGACGCTCATCTATCTGTCACTCACCAACGTCTGTCTGTCCTGCAAGGTTAGTCACTCTGCTCATCACCCCCTTGGAGCAGGATTATTATTAATACGAAGGCCGGTCCTTACGAAGCTAAGTAAGTCCTTAGGTATAGGTCGGGAGGTACAGGTACGTACCAAAGTACCTTTTGGCTACTCTGGTTCATCCCGTTGCACTACTGCTTCTTCTCCAAGAAATGGACGCCGCTGACTCAACCAACCAAGCTTCGCCGCGTTTCTTTTTCCCCCGACTCGACCAAGCAGAGGGAAAAGCTTGCCATTATCATCATTGCATGTGCTTGCTGGCTTGCTTGCTTGCTTGCTTCAGGGGCAAAGGCAAGGTCACGGCCAAGGTCAGGATCCAAGGCAGCTCCCCCAAGTACGACTACTGTTGGAGGGGCATTAACTATTTGATAAAAAAGAAAAAAGCAAAAAGACCCCTTCCTTGCCGCGGTGGCCAAAAACGAAGGGGGGGGTGTTCATCCTGACCCTCACCTATATAAAACGACGAAACGACGGCAACTTCTGCGACTGCCTGTGTTGATATTGATCTTATTTTGCAGAATTTCGATGAAGAAGGGTCAAGCCACTCACCGATTCACCCGCGATCGACAAGCCTCTTGCCCTTGGCCCGCCCTGACCTGACATCACCCAGGCGCCCATCTCACGGCCAGAGTCCTCCCCCCTTGCAGGACCGCGCAGCCTCGGCGAGCTCATCTTCTTCTTTTCTGTCCTTAAAGCGCTCTGCTTATGACGAGGAACCCCCAGAATCCACTTTAAACCTGGCCTGAGGGAGACTACCGTGGCAAATTGGCATCGGGTCTAACCTAAGGAGTAAGCTGCTGCTGGCCATGACCAGAACTGACTCCAATCCCACACTCGTAGCGAGAAGCAGTAGCAGCACCACCACCAACAGTAACACTCTAACAGTAACACTTCCTCCGTAATAGCAGTCATCAAGCATCAAGCATCAAGCATCAAGCATCAAGCATCATCGGGCAGTCAGGGTCTTTCTCTTTCTTCCTGTCTTATGTCATCCTGGATCATCGCTTACCTAAGCCCTGTCTCAGGTTCGACCCCCTGAAAAGTC